TGAAGCTGAAGTACAATACCCGGCAAAATTCTAACTTGTCACATTTCAAATAATAACCAGAAATATAAAACTACTCCTGAGTTGGGTAAATTCCACAATTTTGCGGTGATAACTGTGACATAACAGCCGATTCATGACGTCACGGATCTTATAACCAAACTTATAACACTCGCTTGAACGGATCGGTAAATACCAACCCAAAATGGTAAATACCATTTTCATTTGGTCATCCGCTTGAATTTGATGTGTTTAAAAAATCTAATTTTGAACTGTTGTGGTTTTTCATTGTTTTCGATTTTATTTCTTTATTATTAGTTTTTTTGTGCCAATTTGTATTTTGTTTATAAGAAAATATGCTACATTCAAGGTTTTGTTTGGTTTACCCGAGAAAGCATATTTATAACAAAAATAAATTTTCTAGAATTACTGTAAAAAATAAATATTTGTATTTTTTAATATAAGTATCAATAAAAACAGTTCTTGACTACTGTCTAAGCATTTTATTTGATAAAAAATAAAACAATGATATGTTGATATAATATGTTAATGTGAGCTGCTTCTTCATTAGGTCCAACCTCATATTCTAATAATTCAACGATTCCAGCCTTTTTGTAAATTGCTCAAGACAGCCGCACACTCTGGACATACATAAATCAAATCCAAGCGAATAACCAAAATTTCTGAGTTATGTATCGCGGTTATAGTATGGTTCAAGATGACACACGGGTTGATGACGTCAGTTACTCGAATGGTTTGAACGCGTTGGTTTTAACCGCGGTTTTGTTCCAAGTTGTTTATTTTAGAAAAGCTCGTATATAATTTCTGATTATTTTTATTATCACTTAATAATCGGTGCTTTTTCGTCTACAACGGTGTATGGAAAGTTTAAAAAAGAAACCTTTCATAATATTAATGGGAGAAATCTTTTTTTTCAGAAAAAAATTTTTATTAGCTATGATAACTTTCAACTCTCTAAACTTTTCCGCATGTCACAGAAAACATTTATTGATTTAGCAGCAATGGTAGGAAAAAGCGATGAAAAAAGATATTCGCAGAACCGCATACAGGTGGACATCATCCAGTGAGTTTATATATTATTATATATATTTTAAAGTTCTTGTGGTATATGGCTACACAGGATACTTTGTTAAGCATAGGAACTAGATTTAAAATATCCCCAACAACAGTAATGATTATAACTAATAAGGTGCTCTACTTTATACTAAAACTCAAGTCAGCCTGTATTAAGTTTCCCAAAAATGAAGCTGAAGTACAATAAAAATATCCAATACCCGGCAAAATTCTAACTTGTCACATTTCAAATAATAACCAGAAATATAAAACTACTCCTGAGTTGGGTAAACACCACAATTTTGCGGTGATAACTATGACATATAACAGCTGATTCATGACGTCACGGATCTTATAACCAAACTGATAACCTCGCTCGCTTGAACGGATCGGTAAATACCAATCCAAAATGGTAAATACCGCTTTCATTTGATTATAAACATAATTTTTCGGTTGTTCTGGGAACACTCTTGCTCTACTGCATTTTTCACATATGACACGCCAGCAAATACCACATGGATAACCGAAGCTTTTTTCCTTTTCTTCTTTAAAAAAACATGGAATTTGGCACATAAAGCAGTTGATCGGGGGGGGGGGGGGGGGGGGGTGGGGGTCTTTACAAAATCGGTTTCCCAATCGAGTGCAACCAACCCCTCGTGCCTTTGTTAATGTAGTACAAAGGGCTCGTGAATCAGGTGACTTAAGACCTCACAGGGGATGCCGGTGCTCCAAGACCGCACGATCAAATACAGGTCCGCACTGAAATACTTGTCGGGAGATACTTTATAAAACAAGGTAACATTTTTTTTTATTTTTACACACATATTTTGGTTTATCTTCCTTCTACAATCATTATCTGAAAATTAATTACTCAACTTAAAAGTCACCCTGTATATATAAGTTTAGTGGGATATGGGAGACCTTATAACAGCATGTGTTATTAACATTTTGCGCTAACTGTTATAAGATCACTCATATCTACTTACTAATCTGAAAACTTTCAGAAGAAAAACATATGCTGCAAATACCTAAATATATATTTATTATGTAAATCTCATACATTTTTCTACAAACAAATCAGTATTAACATATTATGGTCCAGATGTTTTCATTCCCCAGCCTTTGTTGGTGCATAAATCAAAAATTAGAAAAAAATTAATTGTGTTGATATGTTACTACAATTAACAGATTTCTTTTTTATTAGAGCAATAATATGATTGTCTAAGGGTACCCACAGGAATTTTTCTCAGATGTGCTGATCATGATCCAGAGATAACTGTTACTACAGCCCCCCTGGGGGCACCCATTTTATTGTTCAATAACAATACTTGGCTTTGATTTCATTAAAATTATAGTGAGCTTTACGTATCAACCCTACGGCTCTGACAATAGCTGATTTAAAACGTATGAAAACTAACTTGGACAAAAAGCAGTACAAATCATCACTAGTTATTGAGTCATATAAAAACTTACAAATGTTATGTTCTGCAAATATCCTTCAGAGCTATGCCTTTTGGTTAGATCAGAAGTAATCTCTGAGCTTCTGATAATATTCAGGACCTCAGGGGTTGACAATGGCAGCTGTTGAACTTTTCGTGGCGCTCCACTGTTCAAAGAGTGATGTGGAGATTCTAACAGATATGATCTTCAAATATTACACTCCTCAAATGAGTAACTGCTGTATCTTTGATCTTCCTCAGCATCTGCAGAAGCCTGACTGCTGACTGGGATCACTTTGGATCACCTTAAACAAGAAACAGTTTTGATTTGGAGTTTGTCTTATACCATTTACAAATACATTACAGCTTTGGGTACTTACATTTTTATACTTCACAACTCTGAACAAAAGGCATAACATAATAGTGACTTTATTCAACCAAAATGAAATGTTGATGATGCACAACGAAAATGGCTTGCGGAAAAAGTAAGGTTATTTTTGCAAAGCATAGCCACAGGAATATGTGTGGTAAAATGTTTGTACTTTTCTTACATAAACCTGACTTTTATCAGCATTCAAGTTTTAAGCTAAGTAGTCGATAATATCCTGGTCTGTAGTACAGTCCTTAACTTTTTAAGAAAAACCCAAATCTTTTTCTCTCTTATTTCTGCACTACCTTGAAAGTTGGAGTCTGGAGCGTCTGTGGCGATTCCAATTCTTGGCTGCCGGCGTCTTCTTCTCTTGACCTCAACATAATCACTTTCGTGACTTCTTTATTACTGCTCCCATCACTTCACGCTGCTTCTTAACTAGTGTTTGTAAGTTGCTGCTGTTTTCACGATTTATGGAGGGTGGATTCCGTGAACTATTGTGCCTCACTGTTTCCTGGAGTTGTTTAGGATTTGGATTTAACATCTGCTGGACCTTACTTCCTTGTGGGGCGGTTGCTTTCGTACATTTATTGGCTGAGTTTCTGGGTTTGGTGCGGTTATTTCAGAATACTTCTTAGTTGCTTCGCTAGTGGCACCTGAAGATGGCCTTCTTAGATTACGATCCTCGAAAGTGTGATTTGTGGCAAACTTTTGAACACATGTCTCAAACTAGGACCGTACCAGCTTGATGATGAAGTCACGGTTTACTTGACTGACTTCACTACTAGTTGTTGCATCTGGAGTTGACTGACCATAGCTTGTTTGGCTAGCAGTTGACCGTTGTGTCCTTTCTGATACTTATTTTTTTAAAAACTCTCAATTTTCTTAGTAAATCCTTTTTTGGTCATCTAATCTAGAAACATTTAGGTTATTGTTGGAGAGCATCATTCTTTTAATCTTGTAGTTTAATTCTTGTATTTCTGCTTTATATTTCTTAATTTAATTTCTATAGTTTTCCATTTATTCCCTCCTTTTAGTATGTTCCGAATTCTGACTCAATTTTTTGTATTGATCTATCATTGTCTTCAATTTCCTTACGGTATTGATTTTCCCATTAAATTGCATCTTCCTATATAGCTTGTGATTTCTTTCTAGTTCTGTCTATTAAGAAATTCATCCTTTTGCTCAATTTCAACTTTTAATTTGGTAAGTTCCTCCTTGAGCGACTTTACTATATCAGCTTCATAGCTGTCTTCACAGTCTTTGCTGCACAATACTTTGTGTTTTTTAATAATGATGACGTCTATCCTTTCCACGCAACTTCTATGGAATACCTTGAAGCAGTTTATACAGGGTGTCCGCAAAGTTGGGGTTTTCCTTTACACGACGTGTAGATCTTGAAAACATAAGCAATTTTTCTTAGTACCATATACACCAATGTCTTAAGGCAACCGAGATAAAGGGCTCTGCAACATCAAGAATATCTGAATACCGTCCTGTAGCCGCGACTCGCGATATCCCCAACTGGTAGCGGCTACTAGCTCAACCCGACGACAGAACTTTTTTACTTGGTCGCCCTCGTTTCACTACACATTACCTTTGTTATTTCAAGGGTAGTTGTTTCTGAAAAGGAAAACCCCATCTTTGCGGACACCCTGTATATACCATGTTAATTCCTTGGCCCCACAGCACTTAAATGATCCAAGAGATTCTTCCTTCATGTGTATTAATTTCTCATTGCTATTGCATTTAAAATAATTTGATACGCCATTGGAATCAGCAAGATTTCCTAAGTGGAATGTTGTTTACTCACCATTTACGTTCATTTTACAGAAAAAAGTTAAGATTGCTCGAAAAACTCAGAATTAAAATTTCGTATTTTCACTTTACCGCGAAAACTGTCTTTCGGATGGTATAGATCGTTGGAATTACTTTTCCAGTTTAATTAAGCCGTTGATATTGATATTTTTCACGTTCGATATTAATATGCTCACGCTCACGCTTACGAGTTAAACCGCTCCCACATGATGTGGTGAATGCCTTACAATCTTGGACACATGGCCATTCGCCACATCGTGTGTTAGAGCGCTGACGGATTGCATGTGTCCAACGTTCGCCACATGGCACGTTCGGACTCTTGTCGGTAAATTTGATTCGCGTCAAAGGACGTTACAACGTTGGAAGCATTAGGCTCCCACACGAGATGTCATGTGTTTGATGGTTTTAGGTTAGAACCAGTAGCGGCTGTGATTGTGGTGAAGTATTGGTATGTGGGAATTATTCAAGGGCTGACCCAGCTGGTGACGAGCCCTACCTTTTCCCCGCGTCTCGTCACACGCCAGTAGCCTGCAGGATTTCTTTCTGACCACGCGTCCTGTAACTCACAGCACTGCTGTCCTGTCCCCCTTGGGTAACTCAGACCACGGTGTTGTGGAGGTTAGGTTTCGGTCAGAATCCGCTGTGGCAGCAGAAACTCGTACAGGCCGCAAAACTTGGCATTACGGACATGCCGACTGGGAGGGCCTCGGAGACTTCTTCTCTACCTTTCCTTGGAGAGATGTCTGTTTCACTGACGCGGATGCGTCGGCTGTCTGTTCTTCGATAACCGAAATTATACACGTCGGAATGGAGGAATACATCCCTCACACAGTGAAAGTGCCTAAACCAGGGTCCACCGGCTGGTTTAACAAATCGTGTAGCGCTACTCGCCAGCAGAAGATCAAGGCACACAGAACCTTCTTACAAAACCCCACTGTAGAGAACAGACAAGCCGACGTCGAGTCCAGAAACAAATATAACGAAGCGGTTCGCAATGCCAAAAACCAGCACCACATAAAAGTTAGGCACTGGGTAACGTCGCAGTGCAATGGTAGCCGGTCTTTCTGGACGCTGACCAAGCAGATTGAAAATAACTTCTCACACAGTAGCCTTCCACCACTTAGTGTCAGGGTGGAACTATTGTATACGACTCAAAGGCCAAGTCGAAAGTGCTAGCCAAGATCTTTGCTGCCAACTCCACCATGGATGTCCCCCTCAACGCCCAAGTGCCGTCAATTCAAAGGGTTCCCTACACTATGTGGGAGGTAACATTCAGGCATAAGAACGTAAAACGAGTGATCTTGTCGCTCGACATCAACAAAGCTTCTGGTCCGGACTTGATTCCTGCCATTATACTGAAGAGGTGTGCGGCGAAGCTTGCTCACGTTCTTTCGCGTCTCTTCCAGATATCTTATGAATCTGGCACCTTCCCAGAAAACTGAAAATTTACTTATGTCCAACCCACCTCAAAAAAAGGATCTAAGACCGACCCTTACAACTACAGGCCTATAGCTCTGCTTTCTGTTATAAGTAAGGTGATGGAGAGGTGCATACATCGCGAGCTTCTGGACTACCTCGAACGTCACAGCTTGATTAGCGACAGGCAGTCTGGTTTCCGGCACCAAGGATCCACTAAACTCATCCAGTCTAATGGTGAGGATCATGTCCTTGCTCTTGACATCACGAAAGCGTTCGATCAGCTGTGGCACGCTGCCCTCCTAAGTAAACTTCCATCCTATGGCCTCTCAGAAAAGCTTTGCAGATGGGTGGCTGACTTTATCTCTGGCCGCAAGATATCCGTCGTAATTGACGGATTCTCCTCTTCATTCCACAACGTCAACGCGGGTGTTCCCCAGCGATCGGCCTTGACTCCGACAGTTTCTCTTACATATCAACGACTTCCTTTCCTGCACGATCAACCCAATACACAGCTTCGCTGATGACACCACTCTACATGCAGGAATTCACAGTGACAAGTAGATCTCTGCCGCTGAGCTGGAAAAAAGAAGACTAGCGACGAATTCCTCTCTGACAAGAGACCTGGAGGCTATCACTGCTTGGGAACGCAAAAATCTTGTACAGTTCAATGCTTCCAAAACACAGTACTGTACTTTGACGAACAAAAAGTGTCCTAGCGTTCATCCGGTTTCGATGGATGGCCGACTTCTGCTAAAGAGCCATTCATTTAGGCTGGTCGGAGTCCAGATAACCGAGGACCTGATCTGGCACGAACACATCTCGTCAATAGCTGCAGCTGCTGAGAAAAAGCTAGGCTACTTGTGTAAGGCTGAGAAGTACTTTTCTCCGCACGACCTTCTCACTCTATACAAGGCCCAGATGAGGTCTAGCATTGCTCACACGTTTGGGGTGCTGCCGCCCCATGCTCGATGCTGTCCAGAGGAGGGCGGTCCGACTGATCGATGACTCTTCTCTAACAGACAGTCTCGGGACTTTTTCGCACCGGCGGTCTGTCGGCGATCTAGCTCTTTTCCACCGCTACACCAACGGAATTTGCTCCTCAGAACTCTCTTCCATGATGCCGCCGCGCGATGTGCCTGCCAGACATACCCGCCTTTGGCGTCCCATCCTAACCGTGTCGAACTTCGTACATCCAGAACTGGCCGCTACGAGCGCTCCTTTGTCCCGAGGGTGTCGAGATTGTGGAACAATCTACAAGAGGAGGCTTTTCCCAGTTTTACTCACCTTAGGCAGTTCAAAAATCGTATTAACAAAATTTCTTTGGGATCATCATAGCAGCCGCGGTGTTCCGGCATATAGACTTCTGCCTGCGCGGCTGCTTCGATATATAAAAAAAAATGAAAGACGTTTACAGAACAGGATAAAATAAAATAATCTGCAATACAGATATTGTACTGTTATGGGTTCTTGTGCTTTCTGTAATTAATGCTGTATCTTTTTTCAGGACCAGCAGGTGAATCTATCGAAGATTATCGAAACAGATAGTGTATATGGGCAGTATTGTAAGATAAACATCAACAAGGGGTGGTATCCTCAAGAACCAAGCCAATTCCTGACGAAATATTTTCACACTGCATGTGATGCTCTACTAAGCAATAATGGAAAGCTTTGGAAGCTTACTTTGAGAGATATAAGCGAAAACCCCAGAGTTGGGCCTATAACAGACTGGTTCTATCGTTTTGGGTACTTTATGTTAATGAAAGATAGCATACCCTTTGTAACTTTGAGAGCACTATATCTGATAGAAACTCTAGAAAATAGTCCCTTGAGTAGTAGCCAAGTATCATTGAAGCAACTTAATTTGCTACTCAGACTGATCCTACAGAGACTAGCCTCATCAACAAACAAAGCTGTGCTAAAACCACTTTGTTCTGTACTAGCTACATTATGTTTGCGAGAACCGCTAAGGAAAATGGCTATAAACAAAATCATTCAGAAGCTAGACAAATTGTATGAGCACACACTCTCGTTGCTGACTTTAATCTACTTCTTAGGCGTTGAAGCAGTACAAAGCATATTTCTACCGAATTTGGACAGATTTTTAGAAAATATTAGAGGATGTGATGATCCAGATATCATATATATCACCAAGGTGATGTTACATGATTCAAATAGAAAATTCTCGAAAACCACGTTAATTGAAATTCAATTATTCATTTAACCTGTTCTCTAAAAGAAGTCGAGCCACTCAGGATTTTTACTACAAATTGATTTGCTCTGCGAAGTTCCATCCGTTACTGATATTTATTATTATTCATACGATAGGAAAATTATGTGATCACTAGTAAAAGTGCTTTTTATTACTTTAATCCTATTTATTATCAGCATTATTCAAATACATAATAGAGTTTTGGCAGTCGCTCGCATACTACATATGGATACCATATTTCACGAGTATACATCACGGTAGTATGCCAGGTGATTATCTAGTAATATCTTAAAATTCCCCATATCGGCACAGGACACATAATTCTGACGGATCCGTCAACGTCAGAGCCGCATTTTGTTTTTTTTTTTGTACGTTACAGATTCATTTTGAACTTGCTAACAGCTCTTTTATTTAGAAAAGTACATTTGCTAACCAAAACGTTACAAACAAGTTTTACTAGATTTACACCCGGTTTATTCTTGCCAACGTCGTAGACTTACACAGAAATGTCACTTGCTGGTCAGCTGTTCAACTCGGTAGACATCAAAGCGTGATGATACTCGTGAAATAGGGTATAAACATTAATGTTGACACACACAACTAAAATCCATCGACTTTATTATGACAAATATCAACGTTAGCGCGAATATATGCGATATGATAAAAATCTCTAATGTCGCGCATGCATGCACAATACAAAAAAGTTGCAAGATTCTATAAAAAATGTTCTGTGAAGCTCCCCTACGAAGAAGAAATGGGCATGCATTGCAAAAAGTTAATCTTAACTTCTGAACGACACCGTGTAAATGTCGACATAATCTTGACAGCATTATAATCATTTGAAGCCTCATGATCGTGTTCATAAAGTTGCCATAATAATGACCCAGCGATATTTTTGGATAGCTTAATCATTTGGCTAAAAAAACGTCTTTTTAATTAACATAGCAATTTTGTAAGAACAAAACTGGTCGAATCTGTACAGTTTTTATACTGATTCTAGATCATACATAGCGAATTCCCCGGAAGTTCGGACTTGCGTGGTTTTTGCACGTACTACTCGATGGCGGGTACTTCAGTCATTTCAAAAATGTACCAGTATTGTTTATTTTCATATTTATGTGCTATATGCATCATGTCAATTTTAGGGGGGGGGGAGGTGGCTTTACTCTTGTTCCTCTTTATCATTTGGCTGGGTGGTCAGCATCGATCTATTTATTTACTCTCTGTATATCACTAACTGAATATTATACCTGATTTATCTTTTTAATGATTTATATTATGCTCCTCTAATATAGCGGCACCTTTAAATTTGTTAGGAGAAATTATATTAATTAATAAGTCCATTGAGTATAATTTTTTTGGATTTTCATGTTTACGTTCTTTCTAACAATGAATTATGAATAGTCCGTAACTGTCATTTACAGCATACCAAATCAGTTAAGTATGTAATGAGGCAACATCATATCTTGTTTCGACGACTGCATTTGACGGTCACTGATGGTTAAAAATACCTTGTGAGGATAACCGAGTATATTCATTAAAATAAAATATTTTTTTCTGTTGTAGGGCATATATGGACAAATATGTAGAGCCAATCTAAATGATACGCATATTCAAACTCGTTTCGTTTATTCAATCTCAAAAGGACTATCTCTGGGAGATGAAATAATGGTACTGTGGAAACCATTCCGTCGAAAAGGTGTTGTTGGTAAGTCTGATAATTATATCAAAATTCAGGTAGCGATCGATCTTCGTAGTTTATATTTAAATTAAGCGAATACATATATAAAATAAAAAAGTTAGCTTTCGTAGTTCGACACGATTAGGATGGGAGGACGAAGTCAGGCTGTTCTGTCTAGCAGGCATCTCGTGCGGCGGCACCATGGAGGAGAGCCCTGGGAGCTAGACCGCCGACGGCGTGCGAAAGGGTCCCGAGACTGTCTCTTAGAGAAAAGTCATAGATCAGTCGGACAACCCTCCTCTGAACATGTGAGCAGCAATTGGAGCTAGGTTTTATCTGGGCCTTGTACATAGCAAGGAAATTAGGTGGCGAAAAGTACTTCTTAGCCCTATTGACGAGATGTGTTCGTGCCAGATCAAGACTTCGGTGATCTGAACTAGGACCAGCCGAAATGAACGGCTGTATGAAGACATGTTGATGACATCTTCCATCAACTCATGGACAACTCCAAACCTAAAGTCTATGCATGCTCTCAAACCATTTTATTGTTTAAGAGATTTTACTGTTTTGAGAAAGTTACTGACCCGAGGAACCATACATTCTTGAAGTTAATTCTCGTACTGTCCTACTGGCAATGCAAGGCTCAATATTTCCATTCGATAAAAAATATCAGCGTGGTTTGTAAGTGCCAAAACGTATTTCATTATGTTATCAGATACTAGAATTTTGCGTTATTTTCTTGTGTATAATAATCATTTTTTCATATATCAGCCGTTAACATACTCCTTGGAAGTTCACAATCTGTTTAATAGCATGTTCTTTTCTAGAAACCAAAGACGAAATAAACTTTGTTCCAATGAAAACGCAACTGATAAAAACGAGGAGAAAGGTAGATGTTGAAATACGAAGAGGCGTACTAAAACCACGTTTGGAGGATGTCTTTGAGATACCTTTAAAGAACTGTAAAGTAAAAAAAGCAGTAGAAGATCACCGGAAAGGTTTGAAATCTCATAAAAAAGAAACTCGTGTCATCGTTGGTAAAACCACTTTATTGTTCTCTGTACTCAAGTCTAATGATAGAAAAATGAAAAATGGCTGCTGTGATCATTCATTGTTAGGGTACAATTTGTAATATAAATTATTTATCAGAGACTCTTGATTCTTGTCCTGTATGTTTCTACATGAATCCAAAGGCAACATCAACATATTAGCGATAGTCAGCATTTTTCAAATGTTAGGCTCATGTTGCGCAGTTCATTTACAATATCTGAAATGGTAATGATTGCCATTTAACCTTCTAACATAAATATTTCACGATACTTCAACACATCATAACATGACAACATTTAACATCTAATCATTTAGTGATATTCAAAATACCCTATATTTTCAGGTGACTGAGGCAAACCTCATATTGCTTCGTAGCGCCACCGACGCTGAAGTTTTAAATGGAAATCAATATTTTATGAAAACAGTTCTGAAAGGTTAATGAATATCAAAAGATTCACTATTTATGATAGCAACATCCAAAGATCCCACACGTTGCGCTTATATTTTTCTATTCAATTCAATCGTAATAAAAAGTTATTCAAATGCGAATAGAGCTAAATTTTTGGAAGTTATATTCAAAAAGAGGTGTTCAAAAATGGGCTTACATGGAACGGACTACTACCGAATTTGCTGCTGCCAGAGTTCAGTATATGAATTTTCAATCTGAAATGCTTTTGACCTCTAGTCAAATGTAATTATCAATATGGTGGTCCGTAATGGATGCTATTAAACTTATAAAAATAAAGATATTACGCAAAATTTAGGTGAGGTAACCAGCAAAACCTATGGTCGTTACAGATACTATACAAAATCTAAAGAAAATTCGATGAGGCTTTTGACTTTTTAGTTACAAAATATTTCATCAAGAAACGTGTAATAAAGCTGTAATGTTTAAAAAGATCATCTAAGGGTGGCCTTGAACGTGATGTTGACTATGACCTTCAACCTTATTTGAAGGTCAGGATAGTCTTCTTAAATGGAAAGCCCTACTTAATGACACAAGAACAAATAACTTTCTGTTCAAGTATGCCCATAACGTTGAGTATAACCGTAACCAACATGAAATATCCATTTTTAATTCCTGAAATGCAAGTTGCCGACAATTTTAAGTTGGGCATATGCTTGTCAATCAACCTGATACATCAGATAAATTTTCAAGTGAACTCCTTACTTTTTGTCAAGGATATAAAAAAGCAAAACACTGAAATTAATTTATTGTTGAATAAAAAATAATGGATAAAAAATGTTCATTGCCAAAGTAAATATTGCTTTACTTTGAATATTGCATTTCTTTTTCCGAAACCAATCTCCTTTGCAGTCATGCGAAACGATTGAACGTCTAAATTACCTCCACACGGGCAAAGCCGCGGGTTTAGTCTAGTATTAAATTTCATTACTCAATTTCACACTAGGGTACAGTAAGTTGCACCACGCTGTACTTTAAATAGATTGTGTGTAGCCTATTTTCTCATCAGTTAGTTGTAAAATTCTTCACCAGCGAGGGATTTTCTTTTTTCATATATGACAATTTTGAATTTCAGTAAATTTGAATATGTAACATTCAATAAACTAAATATCACTATGAACTGCAGTGTTTCCTTACAACTATAATATAAAACGTACAGCTTAGGCCATAGCAGCTATAAACGGCCTAAAAAAGTCCCGTCCCGTCTCTGAAGGAGATGCTACATCACATCAAATCTAAACCATATACAGTAGAACCCCGATTATCTGAAATAATGTGGACCCAAGTGCTTTCGGATAATCGAAATTTCGGATAAAACGGAAATATTTAGACTCATAATGCTTTTATTGAAAAAAGTAAATGCGTGTGTTAAGTGAGTATATACCTATATAAAGTTGCGTGAAATATAAACATGTGGATACAAACATACATATTTACGAGTACTTAGTAACAAAGGAAGTAATTTTTAACTGTACACGTTCCTATTTTTGGCATCAATATCCCTCCAACGTTTGATAAGTAGCACATTAGCTGCTGTCGCATTTTCTTGTTGTTCGACGTAAGTCAACGCCTTTTGTATAGCTTCTAATCCCTCAGAATGCGATATTTTGGCAGATATTTCTGTCTCATTGTGTCACTAGCATCACTTTAAAGTGTCTCATCGCCATTGTTACAAACGGTTTTTATTAGTTCTGTAGCAGTTAATTCCCCCACCAATCCATCACAATTAATCCACTCACCAAAATCTGCTTGGATAAGATTTTCACACCCTGCTATTTTTACGACGAGCTCATGTAAATTTTCGTCGTTATTCTCATACTCTGCGCAAGGTTCCATTTCTTGCTTAATGATTGTCGACCACGATTTTTGTAAAGTAGAATTTAATTTACTTGGCTATCTTGGCTTCTGCTATCCAATATGCCACATTCTTTAAAACAATGAACGGGATTACAACCATAATCAACTTGATCTAAAATTTGCTCTAATAACAAATGTCTGTAATTTTGTTTTAAATTTTCTAAAACTCCTTGATCCATTGGCTGAAGCAGTGACGTTACATTAGGAGGCAGAAACATCACTCGTATTTCTTCACTTTTAAGTTGCTCCTCACTTGAGGGATCGCAGCATTGTCTAATAGCAAAATACATTTTCTCGGATATCCGCGTTCATTCAAATATCGTTCTGTCTTGGAAAAAAAAGGATTGTAAAACCAGTTCTTAAATAGAGCGGCATCCATCCAGGCATTTTTTTTTATTTTTATACCACACTAGAAGATCGTTGGGACGGACGTGTTTAAATGCTCTTGGTTTAGCTGATTTTCCCATTAACAACAAAGGAAGTTTGTGTGTACCGGAAGCATTGCTACAAGCAAGGATAGCCACACGTTCTTTACTGCGTTTGTAACCAGGAGCTGCAGATTCTTGTTTTGAAGCTAAATTTTTCGACCGGTAGCATTTTATTGTTTAGGCCCGTTTCGTCGCATTTGTTCTGGATTTAAACCATACTGCTTCATTAATTGAAGGGTCGGCCGGAATAACGTTGTATATAACATTTTTTTATAAAAATAAGATTTCCGTCAAACAACGTAGTATGTGCCTATTGGGACCCGTTGACAACATAGACCCACCTGTTTACTCGCATCAATCACTGTGACGCGAATTTGTAAAGCGCGCCATTTCAGTCTTCCGTGTAACAACGTTGTATGTACGTAAACAAAAAAGAATATCTATGGTTTATGAACCATTCCAGTGGATCGATGTCATTGCGAAAGCCAAAGTTAAAAATCCTTTTAAAGATGTCTGGATGCACCAAGCCTTCTTTGAGAATTTAAAAGCTTTGGAATATTGTATATGGAAATACCCCAAATGTAAAATTACACAACTTACCGCTGATTCTCCAGCTAGTTTGAGAATGAGAAAATCTGATAATATTATGCAGCCCTGGAATTCATTTCCCATAAGCAATCGTAAAAGAAGAGAAACAATGACTTTTGCCACTAATATCATATCATCTGAAAAATTACCTATAATGTATCACAACCTTCTTCCAATCAGAGATGAAAAATTAAAAAACCTTGAAGATACGAGTGATTATATTCCTCTCAAGTTGTAACATTTCATGAGAAATTAACTGCAACCCAGTAATATTCATTTAAGTTTCAGTTTTGGTTTCGAAACACGTTGATGAACTTAGAACGTATTTTTTTGTTATTAAAAATATGTTACTGTGTACTTTGGTTCCCTCAATAACTAGAACTGCTGAAAATACTTGTTTTGCTTATAGTCATTTAAAGCCTCTCTATAACAACGTTGTAAGTAACGTGATCATACAACCTTGTTACATGCGTTTTCCATAAAAATGGTTCCCATAGCTGCAAAATAGGTGTCACATTTGTAAATTACAATAACCTTGTATAACTATTGTTAAAATGGTTCAAATTTGTTTTTCTTAATTTCGGCCACTGAGCTTTTTTGTTACATACAACGTTGTTCCGGCCGACCCTTCAATTCTTTAAAATGTTCTCCAAATTTTAATGCAGCGGACTTATCGGCAGATAACTTTTCTCCGCAAACTTTTAATTCTCGTATACCTATGCAGCCAACCATGACTGACTGTAATTAGGCGCCTCAATAACTGGCCATTCTTCACTTAAGTTGACTGCCTTTTGCTTGAGAATTAGTCCGGAAATAGGTATTCCACGTTCTCGATTATGTGTAAACCAGAGATATCAAGCAACATCCACTTTTTGATGTTCCCCATTTTTTCATAGGTTTTCGTGACGGCTGCGATGATGTCAGAACACTTGACCACTTTTCAATTTTCTCGCGTTGTTTCCATTCTGAAATCACTTGCCACGTTTTTAAGCATCACCTCTATCTAAACGTATGATTGCCTCAAGTTTCTGTTCCATGGTAATAACAACGCGTTTATATTTATTTCTATGCTGCTCCGTCTCAGCTATTATGAACCTGACTGAGACAAACATACAGGAACACATACCAGTGAATTCCGCGAACGCGCTTGGGGAATCACCGGCAGCGAATCTAATGACGCAAACGCCGAAAGGAGAACTCCTAAATAGCCGCCGGTATTATTAAGGATCATGTGCCGATTTCCCGAACAACTTCGGTTAAAACGGAGCAATTATTGTATGTAATCTGTTTCGGATAAAGCGGATTTCGGATAATCGCGATTCGGATAATCGGGCTTCTACTGTATAGGGTGTTTCAAATTCGACTCTCACCATTGGAATCTCGGAAACTGTAAGAGATACGAAGTCGCTTGAATGGGGGAAAAGTTGCGTATTCAGGTGATCAACAAAATGCCGCTCAGAAAGTGTTGAAATCCAAAGAACCTCCGAAAAGAGAAGAAAAAAAACGAATTTTCCCAAAATCGTTTTAATTTTTTACTGACTTCCATTGTCGTGGGATTTGAAAATAAATTGCACATCGGCACTTTTTCTCCTCTACAAGATGGCATAATTAAAATTCTTATAATGACGTTTCGTCTTTTGTTCTTCAGCATGAGCTTTATTTTTTCTTAAACACGCCAAGTTGGATTTTTGCGCAGATGAATAGAGTTAATAATTCTGATTTAAAAAATGTATAATATGTCATACATTGATATTACCAACCCTAAGTTATTTCAGAAAAACAGAATTTTCTAGGTAGGTTTTGAAATTATCAGATTTCATTTGTTTCGTATATCAGACCAGACCTCAAATTGAACATAGCAACATACCTAGTTTGGAAGACTGAGAAAAAGGGAAATAAATCGAGCAGTAAACAATGATGTACAGAGAAGAGTCAGACTTTGCCTACAAAATAACAGACATTTTGAACATCTGCTATGATTTACCTCTGTTGTTATTACCATCAATCAAATTTTCATAGGGTCCACAGTACCTTTTTTTTTCCTTATAATTTTCATCCAACAACAAATTAATGGCCATTTAAAAAAATACATCATTAAATTTAGGACTGAAAAGTCCATTTAAAAGTACAAAATTCCAATATAGCGTCCATATGAAAAAACAAAGTTGGTGACGGAAGTCGATAGGTAAAAATTTTCGAATTGAAAATTTGACTACGTCATGTTTTACAGGAGAATAAGTAACAATGACAACATGCAATTTACTTTAAAATCCCATCGCAAATGAAGTCAGGAAAAAAAGTGATTTTGGGATGAATCTGGTATGCGAAACAGATGACTATCTGATAATTTCAAGTCCTGCCTAGAAAATTCTGCTTTATGAAATATCTAAGGTTTGTCAATTTATGACGTATTATACATTTTTGAAATCAGAATGAAAAACTCTATTCATCTGTGCAAAAATCCAATACAGCGTCTATAAGAAAAAATAAAGTTGATGCAGGAAGACGAGACGAAACGTTATATTGAAATTCAAATCATGCCATCTTGTAGAGGAGAAAATGTGGCAATGTTCATGTGCAAGTTATTTTGAAATCCAACTACGATGTTGGGAAAATTCAGTTATTTCCGTGTCTTTACAGAAGTACTTTGAATTTCGAAACTTTTTAAGCGGCATTTTGTTGATTACCTGAATACACAACTTTGCCCCCATTTAAGAGACTTCGTACGTCTTACAGTTTCCGAGATCTCAATGGTGAGGGTGGAATTTGAAAAACCATGTATAGCTAAGTGTCATATCATTTAGGCAACATGCACAGCTATTAAAAGTTAAAATGAAGTGAATGACACCTAGTTCCAAGGTGAGCTTTTTTGGAAAAACCTACATACGGTCATTAAAAATCGTTATAATGTCACTTTTAAGTTACGTAATACGGGTATTCTGTATGGCGGCAAGGTAATATCGAAATTAGTTTCAAGAGTCGAAATTCTGTTAGAATCGGACAAGTCTTAATTTCGTTTCAACCTGATGAATGGGATTTAGCGCATGTCGATCGTAGCTTAGGTAAAGCATAATTCACGAATTCACTATTACCAACAATTTGAAATTAACAGTATGAGGCACTCGAATAGACGTCAGAATGAATTGAAGTATCCTGGTCATTATATATTTTTCCACCCCAACGTTTTCATGAATTTGATAAAATGAAATAATAAAAAATTGCCTCTCTTAAGCTTGAGAAGTCTGCGTGATTATACAATCACCCCCAAGTAACAAAACTCGACAACATCGTTGTTTCTAACAACACACAAAACCCAAAATCCTTATTGTTGAAATTAATACACTTAATACGAGTTACCTGTTATTTGTAGTTCACAGCTAATTTGATTTCTTGTTGGTGACTGAACAAAGCTAATCTTCCGAAGGTGCACGAGCTTTGATAGTGGGATCGATTTATTCTTTTCTGTAAAAATTCTTTCCTGTTATATACTCTCAGTAGGAGAGGAAAATATTTGGCTAACATGAATATGACTTAGGTGCTAGAGCAATGCTAACGTCGTGTAGAGGAAGATTGAGACTACATTTGTTTCAAAACAGCAACGAAAGTAGGCAAGTGGCAGTATTAAACTAAGTGATCAAAGTGACCCGCTAATTAAGTTGAGCATTTTAGTTTGCTAATTTGTAAGGTTAGTTAAAAAGGCAAACGCGAACAATTTATAGAGGGAGTATCGGTGAACAAGTGTTCCGATGAAATATTAATGCAAATACTGTAATTTACCTTTCAAAGCGTTCATCTTGCTAAGTGTAGTAGACCTAAGGTCGAATGCTTCGATTTTATTGCTTCTGTATAAGATACTCCGGTCTTGCAATATTTGTTTTCCTCTATTTATGATGTGATCTAAAAATCCATTTCCAGTGACGACAGGTTGCTCGTTGCCCAGTGACTCTTCTTTAGAAAAACTGTTTTCGGAGTTTTCGACAAGAAAATTTTTGCATAAGGAATATATGCCATTTAACAGAATTTTACATCTTTTGTAAACCTTGAAATTCAATTCTGGCTGTTCTTGTGGAAGAAACACATCACTCGCCGCTTTAACTTCACGGATAACTGTAACATTCATTAAAAAAACTAATTGAGACACACTCTATTTCTGCATTGTTGCGCTTTGGCATCTTGTTATATCTTGTTATTTAATATTGAAATCATGGACAAAATTGGGAAAGCAGCAAAATGACACATTATAGAATGCTACAGATTTATGGGACATTTTTTCAAATTAAAGAGTGGAGCAAAGCTCCTTTGATCGGGTTCAGCAAACAAATAATTCATCTGTAACGTCGCTATCCCAAAAAAATTGTTTGCCATTTGCACATTCTTTCAAATATATGTTCTGAAAGATGTTCTTTCTTTTTCGCAAACACAACCGTTTAAAATAACAAAGCTAAGGAGCGGTAAAACAAACCAAAACGTCTACAAGTAGAAATATATGGTGAGGTAGCTGACGTCGTAATGTCGACGAGAAAGAAGCACCGAAAGCATGCAAAATGTGTTAGAAAGAGTGCGCCGATGCAACCGGTTGCTTTTATCTATTGTAACACACGTATTGCACGTTTCTCGTGGTTCTGTCTAGTACACATTACGACGTCAGTGGTATTTGGTTTTCAGTGTATATAAATAGCTTACTTTTTTGTAAGAAAGATATATTTTCTTTTATATGAATTATGTTATCTTCTTCATATGTTATCAGTTTTAAAAAATCGTCTAAAACTATGGAGTTCCGGATAACCTGTTCTGTAACACTTCTGTCAATTTTGCTCTTATTAGCTTTAACATCTAAGGACAAAGTGTGCACTAAATACTTATTTTCTTCATGAACGATCTGAAACAATAAAAGCATTTTAGCTTGATAACTTTCAATGCAACATGCAAAAATATACATGGAATTTCACACATTTCGCAAAGAAATAGATAGTTGAAATTGGTTTATACGTGTATATTTATGTCTTACCTGACAAAATGCTAAAGGATCTATGATCTCACATATCAACCTCTTTAGTAATACTGCTTCATTTAGCCAATGGTTTTTTAAAATTGATGCCAAATTACAATTTTGCTTGCAATAATCTAATAGCACTGCGTTGAATGCGGGAACTAATTCGCTTTCTAGTGCTTCCAAGCTAGCCAGGCAGCTTCTTATCTTTATGCATGCTATAAGATAGTATTAATTAGAAACAAAAAAGAGTTGATACCATATTTTATTTGAGCCGGTTTACACTGATTATTAATATTGTACTGTTGTATTACAATGACATAGTTTACTAGATCCATAACTTTTGGATATCTTATTGGATGACGACGGATTATAAAAAGGTATCTCAATATGAAAAATCAAATATCACGCTTGTTATAGAACTTTGAAAACAAATAATCATAAAAGTCTATTCTTGCACCTTAGACACCTTGTTGATACAGTATATAAACTGCCCAAGGTTTGCAGCACTGGAAAATCCTCCTTATGCAGATTGTTCCACAATCTCGACACCCTGGATGTACGAAGTTCTACGAAGTTAGGATGGGAGGCAGAAGCCTGGCGGGTCCGTTTTGCCAGCTCAGTGAGCGGCGCAATCATGGAGGAGAAATTCGAGAATTAAAGTTCGTTCACATCGCGGTACAAGAGAGCTAGATGGCTGATCGTCCGTCGGTACGGAACTGGCCAGTCCGTTAGAGAACTATCATCGATTGCTCGGACAGTCTTTCTCTACAGTATACAATATGGACAGTGTAGTCGAAGTGGCAGCGTCCTAAACGTGTGAGCAGTATGCGAGAAAAAAAAAAGAAGGCAACCCAGCCGAATCAAATTAGAGAGAGATAAACTGGCCAAACCAAGTTGAAGGGACGAAATGACGTTTAGCCATGTGCTGTTATTTGTTGCAAGCGGTGCTGCCAGATAGATAATAATCCTTTTTTACTAGATTTAAAAAATCAATGTATCATTTTCGAAAGTTTTCACGATTACAATACTTCCACGCCAGCGGCGTAGGAAGTACAAAGATCCAACAGGCTTCTAGTGTGTGACAAAAGAGAAGAAAGATGGCTTGTCACCAAATGACTCGTGCGCACTCACTTGCATGTGAAGAAATTGCATACGAGGGATGTCTTTCAAGTTTTGCATATAGAAACATAGTAGGCCGCGCGGATCGTACGTCAGTACTGAATCTAAACCTCACTCTTTAGTAAACTTAAATTCAAAGTTTCACAACAATAGCAGTGTTCTCACTACAGTGAATTTTTAAGTGTCACCAAGTCATTAGAAAAATGGAACTCAACTGAGAATATTTTCGCGCCATAATTTATTACAACTTTCAGATACAACAAGAATGTGTATTTTCTACGCTCCATTAATGGAAAAGTTGGATTCATCTGTCCATAAGATGCTGTCGAAAAAGGCTTCATCCTCTTCGCATCTTCTCAACATATTCTCACAAAATTCAACCCGTTGTGCATAGTCGCTTGGAAGCAATTCTTGTACTTTTTGTACATGGTAAGGATGAATGTTCTCCTAGCCTAGTAGTGCGTGCACTGAAGTATGGGATATGATTCTGCTTCGGGCAATGGCTTTGGTGAATAGAGGGATCTCTATCGGCTGCTTATATTATATCTTATATTTCTTGTGGGCGTATCCTCGACGCTCCTAGCTGACGATGAGTGCCTAGTATCCGGCGCTCGATATACGCATTATGGACGCGTAGAAAAACGCGATAGTCGGGATATACCGTCGGTTGTGGTCCACCTCTTCTAACCATATACTCCCGATACATGCGAGCAGCTGCTCGAGAATTTTCTAGGGCAGCACCATACTAGTAATGCATTTCTGCATATAATCTCGCGGATAATATGACATTATTCTACTCAGATGCCAAAAGTTGGATACAAATTCCGCGTTGCACCATTGCCTGTCTAACTTAGTAATTACGGTCGGTCCGAAAATTGAACGCTCCCGCACCTGCGATGCCGAGTTGAATGCCCAAGCTTATTAAGCTGATTTGGCTATTTGCGTGAAGAATCCGCCATTATGATTTTAGAAAATGTCAATACACAGTATTACTCGCACTGCTACGTCGAATCTAACAGAACCTCATATGTCAAAATCCATCAAGTCGTTTGGACTGTAGCTCGTAAAATAGAATTTCTTGTTTACATGTATAGATACCCACCTACGTCAAACATACAGATTTTTTAAGGTGAGGCACTTAGCGCAGCAAGCTGAAATTTTCAGAGTTTATTCTATACAAATTGAAATAGTTTTTACAATAAAATGAAATAGGACCTTAATTTTTTTTACAGCCCTCCAAAGTTCAAGGATGGAAGAGATTTTTGATAAACGTAAAAAAATCTTAAATTCATTTGAGATTTTTTTGCGTTGATTTCTAATTAGCTCTGTTAAAAAGTGACACAACCATTGCTAAAACTAGCCGTTTAGCCCATCTCATTAAAAAAATCACAGCTTCAAACCTAATGGTTTAGTTGCAATTGCGATTGAAAGTTTATTATCCCGTTTTTTCGAAATTTCACAAAATTGCAAAAATCTCCTGTACTATAAAATTTCGGACTACAGATATAGGGGTTCATTCGATAGGTTGTGAGGCCCCCTATCACCTGACTTCCGTTAATCCACTACTAACTTTACACCCTGTATTTGGAATCAGGAAATAGGGAATGTCATCCTCACTGAAAGTATTCACGCTGTTCCATTTAAAAAAATACTGGCACTTTCCTGAGACACCCGGTATACAAAAAGAGATATTGCATAAAGATCTCCAAACGCCATTACTTTTATATACAACTTTTTTTTCTAGAAGATCATCAAAAAGGGTTACATAGCCGGACACCCTGTACATCCACTCTGAGACGTTTTTTTATATCGTTATCACACAAGGTGATGTAACGGTGTTGCCAAATTTAATAGGTGTAGTTTCGCAAACAAATAGCATGTCTTCTTTAGAAGGAATCAGAATTATATATATATATATATATATATATATATATATATATATATATATATATATATATATATATATATATATATATATATATAGGTGAAAAAATTAAAGCTTCCGCCTTTTGTTGGGTACTTCGACAAAATTTAAGCAAAGAGGACTCTTTATACTTGTTTAATTCTCTCTAGCTTTCAATGGACTTTGCCATCATCATCAGGAGAGTAGTATGTGAGGATGTTGCTAATTGTTGTTTACGTATAGGATGAGGGAAATGTCCAGTAACATGGTGAGAGCTGGATAGATGGTACAATGGTCAAAATTATATAAAATATGACAAGAACAAGTTAAAAACAGATTAAAAATTATTTAAAAAACATTAGAGCATTACATCGTGACGCCACTTGATGATTAAAAAAGTATAAAGAGTCCTCTTTGCTTAAATTTTGTCGAAGTACCCAACAAAAGGCGGAAGCTTTAATTTTTTCACCTAACTGGTCTAGACGACAATGACCACGTCTCAAGTTATATATATATATATATATATATATATATATATATATATATATATATATATATATATATATATGAGCCCCTTCCCACTTCAGTTGGCCCAACTTATTGAAATCTTAGCTTTTTTCTTATCAAACACAAATAATAAAAATGTAGCAGGGTGTTCTAGGTTTAAAAGATTAATAATGAATATTTTGATAATATATAGTAGAAAACACCAACTTTATCACTCCCTAATCAAATTTGCAGCATAAAAATAACACATGTTGCAATTACAGCATATCAACCTATTTTCATTTCAATGCAAAATAAGTCTATACGAGGGATGTCTTTCAAGTTTTGCATATAGAAACATAGTAGGCCGCGCGGATCGAACGTCAGTACTGAATCTTAACCTCACTCTTTAGTAAACTTAAATTCAAAGTTTCACAACAATACGTGCAGTGTTCTCACTACAGTGAATTTTTAAGTGTCACCAAGTCATTAGAAAAATGGAACTCAACCGAGAACATTTTCGCGCCATAATTTATTACAACTTTCAGATACAACAAGAATGCCTTGCTGAGTTACTGTCTGTTTTCGGCAACGGAGCGCCACATCAGTCGACAATTTCCCGTTGGTATGGAGAATTCAAACGTGGATGGGTGAGTCTTAGCGACGATCCCCAGGGTGGGTGCACCAAAAACGACAGTCACCCAGGAAAACGTCGACCCTGTGCGCAAACTCATCATTGAAGATAGACATATGACATATCGTGAGATTGAGGCGTCCTTGAAGATTTCAAAGACTTCAATTCAAAAAAATTTACATGAAGAATTAGGAGTAAGAAAATTAATTTCTCGTTGGATATCCCACCTGTTGACTGACGAGCAGAAAGCAGCCAGGGTTAATTGGTGTCAAAAAACGGTTAACCGTTTCAATTCCGAAAACTCAACAAATGTGTACAGCATTGTTAGTAGTGATGAATCGTGGATTTACTATTATGAACCAGAAAATAAACGACAGTCGGCTGTTTGGGTGTTCCAAGGTGAAGAAAAGCCAACAAAAGTAATCCGTTCTCGAAGTGTTTCGAAAAAGATGGTCGCGACATTTGTGTCAAAAGCGGATCATATTGTAACAGTTCATCTTAATGAGCAAAGAACTGTTACTGCGGATAGGTATACCACCATTTGTTTGCCAAAAGTCATCACCGAGCTTCGAAAAATCAACCCCGAAAGACCCCTCCACCAAGACAATGCAAGCTCGCACACAGCCCAAAAAACAAGGCAGTATTTAACGGAAGAAAACGTGGAATTATCGGACCATCCTTCATATAGTCCCGATCTAAGTCCTAACGATTTATTTACTTTCTTGAAAATTAAAAACAGACTGCGTGGTCAAAGGTTCCAGTCACCAGAAGAAGCAGTTGACGCATTCAAAAATGCCGTTTTGGATCTGCCAGCAAACGAGTCGAATAAGTGCTTCGAAAATTGGTTCAAGCGCATGCAGATGTGTATTAATCTTCGTGGAGAATACTTCGAAAAACAATTAAGTCATTTAAAACTACCTGCCGTGTTGTTTTATTTCCATATGCAAAACTTAAAAGACATTACTCGTACTAACTGCAACAACTGCCGAAACAAGCATTCGCCGACGGCATTACTCGTAAGGGCTAGTGTGTTGAAGAGCTACAATTATACCATCGGTGATTTTGAGCACAAAGGAGCTGTTATTAATACTCCAGCAGATGAACGACAATGTCTCACACTGCTCTTTCCTCTATCAGAGCCCTGCGCCCCTATGGCCGAAATCAAAAATAATAGCCGCGAAATTTTATCTGAAACAATAACTTACTTGCCATATTTGTAGAACATGATATAGCAAATAGGCCAATTTGCATAATTCTATCTACGTGTAAGTCAAATTCCATAACTAAATTGTCGAGATCTCTAGGTTTACTTTTATTTTCTGTGTTAAAGCAGAACTTGTGTATATTCTCTAGGTCGTCAGTATACTTTGCAAACGTACTAAGACATATTTTTAATACAGCTACATTGACTTTACGCTCTAGAGCACAAAGTTTGTTAGAACATGTTTCTGCAAACAGTTTCACCATAGCCGAATTTGGATTTTCCTTAGAAATTTCGTTTGACAATGATTCTAGACCTTCCAAAACCTGAAAGAAAAAACCCTGTATACATCCATTTTTTTCTGACTGGAGCAGTATTCTAAATCCTTTTGATCTGATTATTTCATGGTGTGCACAGAGATTACTAAAAAACAATGTTTCCGCCACCACAACTTATTAACAAATATCTGAAATTGTATGTCAAAATTCCTCTTTTGTAGTAGAACTGAGCCGATGATTTGTTCCATTCTTATTACTTATTATCTGCGAAAAAATCTTTGATTTTCATGTAACCTCATTTTGCAGCAAATTGAGCTTTTTTAGTCATCTCTGTAGAAATCATGAAACAAGCAGACGGAAGGTATTAAGGATACTCTTCCAGACAGGCTGTTGAAAAAAGAGACACGCGACGTTACCAAAGAAACATAGGTTATATGCATACCTTTTTATAAATAGGATAATGGCAAATATTTATCTTATAAATGAATATCACGCGGACACAATGTGCAAACCGAGGCGGAAACAGTGGTTTATATCTTCAAACTACATTATACGGCAATTCGATGAATATGCTGATGAATAGTTAAAAGGATATATTTTTTCCAAAATTTTCTCTCTCAGTAAAATGCTCAGTAATTGTCATATTAATCTAGAATTTTATATCCGGTTTGATCCATACCTTGGGCAGGACACAAAACCGTCTTTTTGGTGATATATGATGTATATTTTGACTTAATATGAGAATTAGGGGTACATCTAACACAAATCGTATAATTTTTCTTTAATCTGAGAGATTCAATAATGATCTAATTCATTAGACCCATTACTTCAAACATGCCTTCTCATCGGTCAAATTTTATAGACACATAAAGGCATGAGCTAATACGGCAAGAAAGAAAAGATGCAACGAAATCGAAGACAAGGAAAGAAAGCACAAGCATTTATTTAAACAGAAGCTTGTTATCTTACAGACTGGCTGCTTCCTCGGATAATTTTGTAATCTTCACTCATAGACACCTGTGCAATAGACATTGCATGACTTAACACTTCTTCAAACAGAATCTTAGCATCACTGAAAGCTTTGAGGCATTTTTCCTTTTCTTTTAAGTGATCAATTTCGGACATTTTTTCTAAAGCTGTATCCATCCACAAAATAAAATTTCCAACATTTTCTGGATAAGTAGATATTCCCTTTATTAAAACATCCTCGATTCCATCAAGACAAGATGATAGTTTTTTAGTAGTAAATATTCTAACTTCCTGTAACAAAATTGGAACTTTGTAAGGATAATCTGGTATCTTTACTTCACCCTTACACCAGGCACCATATATAACAAGAATATTGATATGCGCCTGTCTGGTGAGGGGCACGAAATGTTTATAAAATGAATATAATGTTATATTATATGAGAGGTCAAAAAACGAAGTTTGGTCGATTTTTATTTTTTTCGTTTTTGACCTTTTTATCCGCTGCCACTTGACCGATTTTCAAAAACTGCAAAGCTTTTTCGTCCTTGGCATAGCAGTAACAAGATCTCATCAAAATCCGAGTGGTACTTATCAAGGTATAGGCGGTTATAGGATTAGCGGGCAGACACACAGTCCGACAAACAGACGGAAATGGCTGACATGGTTTTTCGTAATGTACATATTATCATCTTGTAGGATACGATACAGGGTCAAATGTACTTCGAAACGTTGTACAATAAATTGAAATCTAAACATATACCTGTATAGTACACATTTTTCATTTTGATCTGAATGTTTTATTTCAATTTTGATGGACTTAGAGTGATTTAATTTATTTTAGCATTATGTTTGATTTCCACCTATGGTGATAAAATCAACACATCCTGAGTCATTGTTACATTTTGCGACACCGCTGCGGCCAAAAGCGCTCAATTATGATCATGACGGTGGAAATCTTGCCTTGGAATGTAAAGGTACAAATAAGTTTCTCATGGCGCCATATTCCCTTTAAAAAAGTTACAAAATGGCGCCCAGCCGCCATCTTGACATCTTCAACTGCCACTTTTATGTTAAAATATACAATCCATGGATAACTATCATTAGCCCGAATTTCAGCCTGCCAGTTTGACATGTTCAAAAAATAAGTAGGGTTGGGACCTTTTTGAAAAGCACTGTATAACATCAAACATAGGAAATCATCAATAACGACTCATTTAAATTACATTTGTTTCAACCAATTTCGGCCCCTCACTAGATTGGCATATACGTGGTATCCTGAAACACCTCTAAAAGAAACCTCAGGTACTTCAGAATCCATCCACCTATAGACCTTTTTAGGCATTATCTGCCTGGAGTTAAACTAATATAGTCATATCCTTGGTCAGAACAAAGTGTTAACTATTGATGGTTATACAAGGATTAGTTTTAGACGGCTGTTTAAAACTAATTAAATTCAGCAAACCATGTCAACTCGCATATATTCAACTATATGTATAGATACTCAAAATGATATTAAGCTGTTAGCAAAGGCCAAAGAATTATTTCAAAACAATTTGATGTTTCAAATCAGTGGTCGCCAGTTTTTCAGAGTGTTGAGCGTTTTTTATAATTTTGGAATAAACAATGAGCTAGCTAGTTGTAAGCAATGTAAGCCAACTAAAACGAAATTATACACAGTTGTATGCGACATACATGTGTATTTTGCTAATACTAATACATACTAATAAACTTTAACTAATTACTAATACAGACTACATAACTACATCCATTCCTACCAATCGTAGGTGTTTGAAAAATGTTTGTCAGCTACAATGGCATGTCACATACGATTTAATAAAGGTAACTAAAAATAAAAAAAGCAACGCACTGTTTTAAACAAAAACATGTATAGATAAAAAATGCGTGTTCAATGAGAAGCCTGACACACAAATCAAATTCAAGCGGATAACCAAATGAAAATGGTTTGGTATTTACCATTTTGAGGTGGTATCTACCGATCCGTTCAAGCGAGTGTGGTTATCAGTTTGGTTATAAGATCCGTGACGTCATGAATCAGCTGTTATATGTCACAGTTATCATCGCAAAATTGTGGTATTTACCCAACTCATGAGTAGTTTTATATTTCTGGTTATTATTTGAAATGTGACAAGTTAGAATTTTGCCGGGTATTGGGTATACAGTATTGTTATTGTACTTCATCTTCATTTTTGGGAAAATGGAAACAGGCTGACTTCAGTGTTAACATAAAGTGGAGCACCTTATTAGTTATACTCATTACTGTTGTTGGAAACACTTTCAATCTAGTTCCTATGTTTAACAAAGTATCCTGTGTAGCCATATACCACAAGAATATTAAAATATGGCCATTTAACTCACTGGATGATGTCCACCTGTATAGGGTTTTGCTAATATCTTTTTTCATCATTTCTGCTAAATCAATAAATGTTTTCTTTGACATGCGGAAAACTTTTGTGAATTGAAAGTTATCATAGCTACAAAACCATGGTTCAATCATTAAAAAAAAATGTATGAAAAAAAACATTTCTCCCATGAATATTATGAAAGGTTTCTTATTTAAACTTTCCATACACCGTTGTAGACAAAAAAGCACCAATTATTAAGTGATAATATACGCACTTTCCTAAAATAAACAACTTGCAACAAAACCGCGGTTAAAACCAACGCGTTCAAGCGATTCGTGTAACTGACGTCATCAACCCGTGTGTCATCTTGAACCATATTATAACCGCGGCACATAACACAGAAATTTTGGTTATTCGCTTGGATTTGATTACAGACTCACTGACAATTTTTTTAATGTCCAAATGTTCATCTGTAAGTCAATTACGGTATTTGTTTTTAATAAACTTCATATTTGAAAAAGAAGATTTACACAATTAGCTTGAACTACATAGCACTTTCAATTTCAAGTCAACACGCCATAAAACTAGTTCTTTGCCTCTCTCCTGAAGCTGCAAATTAAGTTCATTTAATTTTTCTGTAATAACCGCAAGTAAACCAAAATCTCTAAGCCAGATTGAATTTTCCGGTTCCGGAATCGGATGTTGTTTAAAAATTGAACTGGAGGAGATATGATATCATTAAAACATTTCAGCACTCGTCCCCTACATAACCATCGGACTTCAGAGTGAAGAAGTAGTCCCCCTTTTTTAGTGGAATAAACTTCAAAAGATCTTTAATCGTAAAAACATCAAATACCATCCTGACGAACACGGCCGTCTGAGAGGTGTCAATGACATGTGTGGATTCATCCAGCTGCAGTGAAAAATAAGCACAGTTATCGAAGTCATTTCTTAACTGTAAAACTATATCATTGCTCATTACTTCTACTCATCTCATCAGTGTATTAGCAGAAAGTTGCATACATTTTATGAAAGACACAATCTCGTCTTTATTTCTAAAGTTGGCAAATATGATGTTTCAGATGCAGCCTTACTTTTGTTGATTATTTTCGAAAACATTGTCTGTTGTAAAATGAACGTATTTTTCGGTTGTTTCAATTTTTCCGTTCTAGTTCCAGAACGTAATGGAAATGATTTTTCAAAATTTGAATGTACAGTTTTATAGTGCCTCTTGATATTCCCTTTTTTTAGCAACAGAAACAGATGTATTACATGACAAACGTACATTTTTACCTTTAACTTCGGTAAAGAAATATTGTTCTTCCCATTCCGAATGGAAATGGTGTGTCTTCGTCTTCTTCCTACTGCTCATAGTGTTTTTAATTGCAGGTCTACTCTAACCTAACTGCTGGACTTTGTGCCATTCAGTTTTGAACTGAGCGCACAATCGCCGCGCCTTGCGTATTTATTCTGTTCAATGTAATCGAGATCGTTCTCGAACAGATTTACAAAATTTACGGGAGCTTCTATGAGTTTTACACCTTTTTAAAACATGTCTTTGCAAGCTGCCAGTAGCGCGCGATCGACGGGTTGGCGACCACTGCTTTAGATTCTAGCCAAGAGTGACACTTAGTGATATTGTTTATGGCTTATGTGGCAAAAATCAACCCAGTTATAGAAAAATGTTTTTGAGCATCTATATTTCCAATATGGCCATGCAAGTGGTATGGGGTACAAGGCAGCAAAGTCAATTCTAAAAGAGTATATTAAAATCTATGTGAATCAGCCATTAGTTAATTTAACAATCTTTTTTTGCCATCTCCCAATTCTCTGACTGACTTTGTGTAGGAAATAATAATTATTCACTAACTACAAAATCAAAAATACAGATACCTAACGGGAGAGTAGGTATTAATACTTACATTTAAAGCTTCTCCAATCTCACATTCTGCTACAAATGTGTTAATATATAGTGATAATGTTGTATTTATCTGATAAAGGTACAGTAGCATTGTTTTCTTATTTAATACATGATTTTCTAGAATGCTTCGAATTTCTAGTATCGTCAGAATTATGTCTGTCAAATATCCACACAGTTTCTGGAAATATACTTATTTAATAAACTTAATATTGTGGTATAGTTTAATAGCTTATAATTCATGTTAAAAATGTAAAAAGCATGATATAATTATTATTGACGAGTGAAACTTGAATGTGCTTGAAACTAATGTTGACTAGTTCTTTATTAAACTTCATTTGAGACTCTTATAACAATAAATGTGAAAAAATAGTCAGAATCAATCTTACTTTGAACCAGCTTAACACATTTTTTCTGTCAAATTTTACACTATTAAGAGATTCCAAAAACTGTTTAGCGAGTCCTATCTGTTGTTTCACTGTACTCAAATCCCTGTACAGTCCTTCTTTATTCATTTTCCTCAAAATTATCAAAATAAAGATTTTGTGCTCTTTCAAAGTATCAACAGGTGTTTCAAAAAATCAAAACAACAAATCCCATCCAACTTGACATTGACATCCGTTTAACCTTGACAGTTTGTGCGCTGGCTCTGTGGTGGCGTTAGCTTAAACCGCTCCCACATAATAATCAAATCCAAGCGAATAACCAAAATTTCTGTGTTATGTGCCGCGGTTATAATATGGTTCAAGATGACACACGGGTTGATGACGTCAGTTACACGAATCGCTTGAACGCGTTGGTTTTAACCGCGGTTTTGTTACAAGTTGTTTATTTTAGAAAAGCGCGTATATAATCTGTGATTATTTTTATTATCACTTAATAATCGGTGCTTTTTCGTCTACAACTGTATATTATGGAAAGTTTAAATAAGAAACCTTTCATAATATTCATGGGAGAAATGTTTTTCTCAGATTTTTTTTTAATGATGGAACCATGGCTTTGTAGCTATGATAACTTTCAATTCTCTAAATTTTTCCGCATGTCAAAGAAAACATTTATTGATTCAGCAGAAATGATGAAAAAAGAAATTAGCAAAACCGTATACAGGTGGATATCATCTAGTGAGTTTATATGGCCATATTTTAATATTCTTGTGGTATATGGCTACACAGGATACTTTGTTAAGCATAGGAACTACATTTAAAGTGTCCCCAACAACCGTAATGAGTATAACTAATAAGGTGCTCCACTTTATGGTAAAACTGAAGTCAGCCTGTATCATTTTTCTCAAAAATGAAGCTGAAGTACAATAACAATATCCAATACCCGCCAAAATTCTAACTTGTCACATTTCAAATAATAACCAGAAATATAAAACTACTCTCGAGTTGGGTAAATACCACAATTTTGCGGTGATAACTATGACATATAACAGCTGATTCGTGACGTCACGGATCTTATAACCAAACTGATAACTACACTCGCTTGAACGGATTGGTAAATACCAACCCAAAATGGTAAATACCATTTCCATTTGGTTATCCGCTTGAATTTGATTTATGTGGCGAATGCGTTATAACGTTCGACACATGGCCATTCACTACAACGTGTGGGAGAGCGCTGACGGATTGCATGTCTCCAACGTTCGCCACATGGCACGTTCGAGCTCTTGTCGGTAATGCGGGTCCCACACGATGCTTTCAACGTTGTATACAACGTTGTGTACAACGTTGTTTACAACGTTCGTCACACCACAATTGGCAAGTGCGTCTCCTATACGATGGGATGAACTTTTTAGTCTCGGACGTTGGACGCATCGTGGCGCCAACATCTATTATCGATGTCCATAATCAAATGCAAGCGAATAACCAAAATTTCTGTGTTATGTGCCGCGGTTATAATATGGTTCAAGATGACACACGGGTTGATGACGTCAGTTACACGAATCGCTTGAACGCGTTGGTTTTAACCGCGGTTTTGTTGCAAGTTGTTTATTTTAGAAAAGCGCATATATACGTAATCTCTGATTATTTTTATTATCACTTAATAATCGGTGCTTTTTCGTCTACAACTGTATATGGAAAGTTTAAATAAGAAACCTTTCATAATATTCAGAAGTTGTTTAGATACTTGAGATCCACCCTGAACTCTAAGGTTTCTTCCCCACAAATCCGTGATCCCAATGGCCACCTACATACTGATGCCGAAAAATCTGCCAATCTTCTTGCCGATGCTTTCAGTGAAGACTTTGTGAATGAACCTGATGGTGATGGTACTCTTCCGAACTTATCCAGCCCTCATAGATGCCTAGCGACCATCTGTAGCATAGATTTTCAACCTCAGGACATTGAGAGGCACCTTACTAAACTGAAAACTTGTTCGTCCCCTGCCGTTATGAAGTCCTGTGCCTCAGCTCTCGCATACCCCCTGTGCATTATATTCAACTCCTCGATTCAAAATCACATCCTTCCTTCCTGTTGGCGTACTGCATCTGTGACACCTATATACAAAAAAGGAGATAAAACATCTGCGAAAAACTACCGTCCTATCAGTCTTGTGCCTATAGCTGCGAAAATAGCCGAAAAGATCGTCCAGGAACAACTTATGACATTTGCGTTCAAGAACAACCTGCTGCCTAGCAACCAACATGGTTTTATTCCTGGTAGATCAATTATCACCAACATGTTACACTGCATTGACAATTGGACCAGATCTTTAGACGCAAATGAACCGGTCGACGTGGTTTTTCTGGATTTTTCCAGAGCTTTCGATCGAGTTCCGCATAAAAGGCTCCTGCACAAGCTTGAACATCTCGGAATCAGGGGAAATTTGTTGTTATGGATTGAAGCTTTTTTGTTAGACAGATCTTTCTCCGTCCGTGTTGGAGACGCCTATTCTTCTAGTCATCGTGTTACTAGTGGAGTTCCACAAGGATCTGTGGTAGGGCCAATACTTTTTCTTCTTTATACAAGCGACCTTCCCACCCGACTTTATTCTATGTGTTCCATCTATGCAGATGATACTAAAGTCTATAACACTGTCATGAACTCATCTGTGCTTCAAGAAGACCTCAAGCTGATCAGAAAGTGGTCAGAACTCTGGCTCCTGCCTTTAAATCTATCGAAATGCTACGTTCTCCACCTGGGAAAGAATAATCCTAATTTAACATATAAGATTGGCAAACATACCTTAGAGACTGTTCTTCATCACACAGATCTTGGTCTGACAGTTAATGGCCGGCTCACCTGGTCGGAGCACATTCAGAACATAACCTCTAAGGCAAAGCGGTTGCTATATATGATGGAAAGGTCATTCAGCGGTTGCACCGTTAGTACCTCCTCCTTCTTGTAGGAGTTTGGTGGTCCGGTATGGGATTCAAACCTTGTTCGCGATAGCAGCTTATTAGAGGCCGTTCAGCGTCGTGCTACACGTATGCCATATGGCACACGTAGGCCAAGTTATGAAGACCGCCTCGAGCTATATAACCTGCCTGCTTTTGCTGATAGAAGAGTACGAGGAGATCTCATCATCACTTTCAGAGCACTGCATAATTTGTTTGGTGTGAACATGTCGCATCTGTTTCGTCTGGCAACGAACAGTCTCAGAGGCCATAACTTCAAATTGCAGAAGGAAGCTTTTAGAACCTCTACTCGTCAGCGCTTCATCTCAAACCGTGTCTTCGATGCATGGAACAGTCTTCCATCTTATGTAGTGAACTCGGAATCCGTCAACAGTTTCAAAAACAATTACGATAGACACCGCAGTGCTTAACATATTGTTCCCATTCTGTATATGTCTACTTCAGAAGTGCTAAGATTGTCAAATTGTTATATTTCTTTTGTCTGTACACTATTATCTATTTCTGTGTTTGAGTTTATAGTACTTGTACTCAACTCAAATTTGTTGTTTAATAATAATAATAATAATAATAATATTCATCTGAGAAATGTTTTTTCAATTTTTTTTAATGATGGAACCATGGCTTTGTAGCTATGATAACTTTCAATTCTCTAAATTTTTCCGCATGTCAAAGAAAACATTTATTGATTCAGCAGAAATGATGAAAAAAGAAATTAGCAAAACCGTATACAGGTGGATATCATCTAGTGAGTTTATATGGCCTTATATATTTTAAAATTCTTGTGGTATATGGCTACACAGGATACTTTGTTAAGCATAGGAACTACATTTAAAGTGTCCCCAACAACCGTAATGAGTATAACTAATAAGGTGCTCCACTTTATGGTAAAACTGAAGTCAGCCTGTATCATTTTTCTCAAAAATGAAGCTGAAGTACAATAACAATATCCAATACCCGGCAAAATTCTAACTTGTCACATTCCAAATAATAACCAGAAATATAAAACTACTCTTGAGTTGGGTAAATACCACAATTTTGCGGTGATAACTATGACATATAACAGCTGATTCGTGACGTCACGGATCTTATAACCAAACTGATAACTACACTCGCTTGAACGGATTGGTAAATACCAATCCAAAATGGTAAATACCATTTCCATTTGGTTATCCGCTTGAATTTGATTATTGTCTCGCTTGTACCTTTACAACTGAAGGAAAAATTATAAAAAATGAGCGATGAAACAAATTTTTCGAACGCCGAAAAATAATTTCGGATCTGTCTTCAGCGATCAAAATCTAAGTCTGTCAAAAGCCTCAGAAATGTCGAAAAAAAGTTTGACCGTTTTTTTTGTTTGCTTTCTGACGATAACTCCGCCGCACTGTAATTTCCAAAACTGCAGAGATTTTTCCTCATTTTCATAGGGTCAAAATTTCATCAAAATCCTGATAGTACTTTCAGAGTTATAATATATTTGATCATTTTCGTTAGTTATTTAATGCAAGTCAGTATATCTCTCAACTAGTCTTGTGTTGCAACAGGGCATTATAATGAAACAAATGTAAGCACTTGATAATTTCTAATTTACTAAAATACATATCCTTAGGCCAGCCATAACTCATCTGCGAAACGTACAAAATATTAGCAATATGAAAAAAGTGTTGTTATGGCAGCATATGCTTTGTATGTATACTAATTTAATTCATTCTCCTCAAAATTTAGTTACGGAACATTCATTATTATCAATAGGTAGTGTAGCGTTTTTCTGTTTTCTTTTGGGTGTGGATTAAAACACTGGATTCCACAAAAAGAAATGCACTAATTTATTTTATTTGACTAGATAGAACATTTATGTACACCACTCTTTATGTCTGACTAATTCTTATGTCGCACCATTGACTGAACTATACTCCACTCTGCTCTACTCTCAGTGATGGGCGTTTACGCGTATACATTAATTTTAATTGTCTACATCTCGATGTATACAATACATATACAATGAATACAACGATGAAGACAATGTATAGAATAGCATAAGTGAGGTTAGGTTTATTCGCAAACGTCAGAAAGTTGGTAAACAGGGAACCGAAAACTTGAAAAAAAAATATGGTTGGACGCTCCAAGAACAAAGAAATCGTTGAACTGGGGTTCATTTGTTGTTCTTAATTTATTTAAATTGTATACGTATATAAATAAATATTATATATGTTTTCATTATTTATAAACTGTTTCCACAGTCAAACCAACAATGCAATGTTGCAGAATTTGTATCTATCCTGAACTTTCAGTTCCACCTAAAATCGGAGAACCATTAGGATCGATCTGGAATTGATCCCAAATAGATTTGACAGAAATGTGTATTTGAGCATAGAAAACAAGGCGTTGCAGCAAGTTACAGTTGTGTTCTGTGGCTTTCATCACTGTTGTGCCAGGCAACGTGGTGTGTGGCGCACTCTTTCTACACAAGTGGTGCCCACTTGTCCCCCTATATACATTTTATACATTGTATACGTGGATATCGAGACGTATATATTCACCATTGTATACGCGTATACAATGGTGTATTATACATGTTGTATACAATGCGAACAATCACTGTCTACTCTATTGTACTCTGCTTCCCTCTCCCGGTCTCCACGATGGGATACATTTTTCAGTCTCGGATGTTCGACGCATGGTGGCGCCAACATCTATTATCGGTGACAGTGTCGCGCTTGAACCTTTACAACTGAAGGAAAAATTATACAATATGCACGCTGAAACAATTTTTTCGAGGGCCGAATAATAAGTAGTTTCAGATCTGTCTTCAGTGACCAAAATTTAAGTCTGTCGGTAGTCTCAGAAATGTCGAAAAACGAAGTTTTACCGTTTTTTGTTTGTCTTTCGACAACTCCGCCGCCACTGTACCGATTTTCAAAAACTGTATTACTAGATAATCAGCTGTACTACTCTGTAACAATTTCAGCGTTGGCAATTGTTCAACGTACCTCTGCCAGGTGTTCGGTAATAGAACAAAGTAATGCTACTGGAACGTCAAAAGTCTAGTGACCTCCCGTGCTCAAAAACTTGGGAATATAAGAGCGTTGTCACTTGTCATTCTCTTGGTTCGTTGTTTCTTTACTTTATTTGGTTATCAAAAAGTGGAAAAAATTGGCAGAATATGTATTTTTCACGATAAAATATGCTACCTCGTATCCAGAGCGTTTCTTATAATAAAAACATGGTCCCAGAAAACCTATTTTAGTTAGAAATTAGTGGTCCATCACCAAGTGTCATTACATGACTCTGTAACAACTCTGTAATAATTTAGGCGTTCTAAAAATGAATTTACAGAGTGAACAAATTTCATCTGTCAATCTACATTCCATTACTGTGTACGGTAGTGATATTACGTATCTTCAAAAGTGACATTATGTCGTTTTTTTTTGACATTATATAGGTTTTTTGTGACATTATGTAGGTTTTTATACAAATGTCAACATTAGCTGTTGCACACTTGTTGTGTACTCGTTCCCGTGCTGTACGTGTTGCCTAAACGTCATGATATTTCAGCTATCAATGTTTGGCTCTGATGTGATGTAACATAATATATGCTTCAGAGAGGGCAATATTGAAGGTCTAATCTGTAAGTTGTATGTTATAGCTGTGTGCTAATAATCTGTTTTGATGTTAACTCCGTTGGTTTCTTGTCCTAAATACACTTACTTGAGATGTATGGAAAGCTAAAAATTCAACCTTCAAATAACTTATGTAAATTTGCTAAATTTAAAAAAAGGGCGTTAAGAAAATTCCTGGTTGGTAAAGTCTATTAAAACTAACAGGTGAGAAAATATGGTACATACAGGAATATTTATAATCGTAAAAAAGTTATTATCTACATTTCACATTAATTTTATTTCCAGTCATTTAAATTTTATAGAAACTTATTTTACGATGTCAAGAAGAAAATAAAAATCAGGGACTAGATGTGAGGCAGTGCGAAAATGTTTTTTAGGTGATGCCTCATTCCTATTTTCTCTGTGATGTGGCTTAATTAGACACAGCGCGGTGCGGTGCTTATTTCCCGTAATGCTTCTCGATGTTTCTGAAAACACAAAGAAAAAACGTGGAAAATCATAATGTATAACTTTGGATATAACCTCTCTTCAGAAAGAAGAATTCAAATGGGCAGCAAATACAGTTATAATTTTCTCACATAGCAAATATCACTGATTTTAACATATGCAGACCAATACACACAATCATCCAGGTGTCATCTTGGTACTCTGCTACTCAACGATCCCTATTCTCAGACTATAGACTATCTCGGTATTCAGCAACCATCAAAGTATGATAGGGTACTGACGTGCAGCTTGCAGCATGGTCATTGAGCATGTCGTGTCGTTGAGTCATTCCTCCATAGATGGGCGCCTTTGATGACGCTCATAGCGCTCATAGCGAGCAAACTTGGAATGTACTATTTGCACACGAGTTGCACACTAGGAACTATCTAGGCAGCAAGTTGGCATTTTGTAGTTTTTTAGTTTTTTTGCGTAATAGCCCTGCGGCATTGCACTATCAAGTGATTTACAAACGCACCCCAAGTTGATGCATTCATTCCCAAGACTGAAGGCCTTGAGGTTAATAAAACTAGTATCAGTGAGCAACGTAAAATTGTAAAGATTATAAAATAAAATGTAGCTTTTAATATTAATATAGTTTTACTAAATATGACTTTTCCTAAACTAGCAGACATAAACAAGCCTAACGTCCTACTCAGTGTGTATGTATATTAACATTTCTCTCCTTAACAAATGCGCATCCAATCCTAAAACTTGTGTATTTTAATAATATATTTTAGGCTATGTTTTCGAGAAAAAAAATCCTAGAAGTTACTAAAATTTTGGTTCTAAATGTTTACTCCGAGATTAGAACCTATTTTTTAAATTTCAATTTTTAATAAACCGTGTAGAAAAACTACAGCTTTCTGTCAAAATACATGTATTCAAAATGACTATTAGAACTCAGAAATTCTCACAGTGTATGCTTATTAAGGCAATTCTCGCAAAGAGTTAACCTAAACAAACGTCTAATGTCATACTCGGTGCGACATGTACAGGGAAAAGTTATAGGGTTATAATATGAGGTTTTTCATGCAATATTTTTTTATACTGGCTGTCTCAGAAAAGTGTTATCGAATAAAGTTTTATTTTGTTAAAAAACAATAATTTTATGTTAAAATATATTTAAAATGACTATTAGAGCTTAAAAACTACTCATATTGTTTCATATAGATGCAATATAACAGGCATACTTCTCTTCTTAATTCATGCGCATTCCATGTTAAAACTCCAAGTATAGGTACTTCAAACATTTAGGCAATATTTTGGAGTAAAAAAATCAAAAATAAAAACTACTAGAAACTACCTAAATTTTGATTTTAAATGTTTACTTCCGGTTCAGCACCTTTATTTTTTCAAATTTCAAATTTCGTTTCTTATCAAAATGTACAGAAAATTCAATATCCCAATGTAATATTTTTGAATTTGAAAAAAATCTTCAAAAATTCTCAATTTCAAGTGTGGCTATTTTATCGAAGCCCGTAACAGCAAATAAATGTGCTAAAACTGCTGGATTGGTATGACCCACAATGTCCAAGCATGACTTCCGACTTAAATAGCACGTGATAATTTCATTTTTTCTTTTTAGGTAAGACAAAGACCTTAAAGGTCACTAGAACTATTATCATTATTTTGTATACAACACTTGTAACATTAGACCAGATTAAGTAACATTAGAGTCGAGACATAGTAGACGTGTTTTTGGGTGCTCAACCTTCGAAGTAAAAAATCGCGCCACAAGTTAGCAGCTAGTTGTGGAAATTATTCACAGTACACATCTTTAGTCTCTATCGAGGTATCAGTGAAAAACAAAAGTGATTTGCAATGGCCATAACAAGAGAGATAAGATATGAATTTAAATCTCATGTAAGTAGCAGCATTACTTCAGTCAGAATTATGACCAATTTATCACTCGAATCGCACAAAAAGTGGCAGACAATATAACAAAAAGTCTGGTGGAAAAAATGACCGTACTAGAGAAGAAAATGGAGGATATAATTTCGTTCAATAATATTTGAAGAGGTCATCAAAATGGTTAGCTCTCTTATGGGAGTTAACATCAAGCAAGAAGATATCTTAGACTGCAGGCGCTTGGGGAAAAACGAGATGGTAAATCAAGAGGTATCATACTTAAGCTGAATGTGTGTGATGAAACAAAGTATCTATAATAAGAAAAAATCGCTAAAAGGTTTTAACATATGTATAAAAGAAAATCGGCTCAAACTCATGGAAGCAGTGATTGAGAAAACGTCACTGACAAGTGTTTGGTCATATTTAGGTATGGTTTATGTTCTGAAAGACAACAAAAGAATATCAATTACATCGAAATATGACATTGACAAAATTTATCTTTTCTTTGATTACTTATATACCGTAAGTTAGTATTATTGTAAAATGTTTATCTTAGTTTTCCCAAACTTACGTTTAACGTCCGATAACTGCTTAATCATGTTTCTACATTGTGAGCTCCAGAAATGGTTGAATCTTGTTCCAACCTATTATTTTTTAATCTTTGATAATTTTAAGTTTAAACATCTTTTTCTGTACTAGCAACTCGGGTAGTAGGTACTGCTTACTCGCTTTTTTTCGATTTGTTTGTTTAGCTTTTAACTTCAGTCTGTATGAAAATTGCACATTTAAATGTACGATCTATTTTCTAATTTTGCTGAGCTCAAGCAAATTATTTCAGATAGCGACTATGACGTTATGTTAATGTCTGAAACCTGGCTAGATTGCAGCTCTGATTCTACTGTGATTAACATACCTGGTTATACTGTCTTTCGCAAAGGTCGTATTGGCAGAAGTCGAGGAGTTGGGGCCTATGTTATGGCTGATTTATTGTGCGCTGTCACTGATGTGGGTTACTCTCCGAACAGTAGCCTTGAGTATTTATTATTTCAGTTAAAATTTCAAAACTTACACTGGTGCTCTTGGTTTCTATAGTCCTCATACTGCCAATATTACTGACATTGAAAACATTCTACCTTTAGTGATTCATACCGTTGACTCAAGATCTTTCGAATCTTTTGGCTTCACGCAGATAATAAACGCTCCCGCTAGGATAACGAATACTTCAAGCACGTTAATTGATGCAATTTTTTTATCCGATGTCGACATTGTTCAACGGTCTGGTACAATATCGGTACATCCTGTTTCAGATCATGACCTGATTTTTATGGAAATCTGATTTCCTATTAACAATAATCATGTGAAAATAGTTAAATATCGTTATTTTGAACATTTAAATTTCGACATTTTTCTGACGGAGTTAACTGGACTATCATAGACCTAGTACTGAGAAGAAAGTAACTAAGCAACCCGCCACCTTGGCTTACCAACAGTCTTAGGCTATTGCAAGAAGAGCGCGATAGGGCCTTGCAAAAATTCAAAAGAAGCAAACAGGAGAATCAATACGCTAGATATAAGGAGTTGAGGAACTATACTTTGGTTGCTACTAGGCGTGAAAAAGAAAATTTCTTGATTTACGCTAGTAATAGCAGCATTAAAGGTACTTGGAATGCCTTAAAACAATTAAGTGTGTGGTCGCGACGTAAAACCTCAATTCCAGCTCATTTAAGTAATCCTGACGATCTAAATTTCTAAATAATCACATTGCATCGTATTGACAATGTGTTACATCTGTTTGCGACAAAGAAATCGAATTTAATTAATCTAATGTTCATAAAGCTAATTTAAGCTTCCAGTACAAGATGATAATTGTCGAAGAAGTGCTGCACACCATTTTGCTTAGCTTATAATCAGGTGCTTTTGGTGCTGATGACATTAATGCAAAAATGCTCAAATTGTGCAGCCCTTTCATTGATAAATATCTAGCGCATATTATCAACTGCTGCATAGGGAGGTCTTATTTTCCAATTCTATGGAAATCTGCTATTGGTATCCCTATCCCTAAAATAAATAATCCTGCGGAATTCTCCGATCTTAGGCTTATATCACCTCTACCAGTTGACTCAAATTTTTTTGGAAAACATCTATATATACAAATTCGTGAATACTTTTCAGTCCATGGTCAACTTCCTGACTGCCAGTCTGGGTTCAGACCTGGAAGAAGTACTGAAACATCACTAGCTACGGTAACCTCAGATATTTTAATGGCGAATGATCAAGGTTTGTCTAGAGGTCTTGTTCTTTTGGATTTTTCCAAGGCTTTTGAAACCATCAATAATGAATTGTTGTGCTCAAAAGCTCAAATATTATGGTTTTACTGACCCCTCACTGTTTTTAATATGGAGCTACTTACTTAGACGCTCCCAGAAAATTCATATTGATGGTTCTTATTTGGCAAGCACAGATATCCGGTCAGGGGTGCCACAATGATCCATACTTGGGCGTTTGTTATACATAATATACACAGCAGAAATCCTAAGAAAGATACAAAACGTCAAGGTACCATCGTACGCTGACGATATTCAAGTTTACTTTAGCTTTTCCATGAAAGACAGAGCTGCAGCAGAACGAACTGAATGAAGAGCTTCAATCGATACATACATTATCAGAGCAGCACAACCTAAAACTCAACTCTAAGAAGACAAAATTAATACTTTTTGGTGATATAGTATAAATATTTTAAAGGACACTCTTTCGGTGAAAATTACAAGCGAAGTTCTTAGTTTTTGTGACTCTCCTCGTAATTTAGGCTTAACTGTTGATCCAAGCCTTCGTTTCTCACTCCATATTCAAACGCTTGTAAATAAAGCACTTAGTTCCCTCAAAATCATTTATAGCAGTCGACATTTCCTAAGTAAAAAATTAAAAATAACTTGCCGTGCTTGACTAGTGCTGACATAATGAAAATACAACGGCTTCAAAATAGCTGCTGTAGGCTGGTATACGGAATTAGGAAGTATGACCCCCTATCACACAAAATCAGAGAGTGTGAATGGTTTAAGATGAAAAATAGGAGACTCCTTCACTTGTGTAATTTTACGCATAAACTGGTCAACATTCCAAATCCTCCTCGCGGGTTGGTGGAGTAACAGGTGAGAAGATACTCTACAGACAGGAATATTTATGAAAGTGAAAAGGTTATTACATTATTTTTTTTTATTTCCAGTCATTTAAGTTTTATAAAAACTCATTTTGCGATGTCAATAGAAAATACAAATCAGCGCCTGGATGTGAGGTACTGCGAAAATATTTGATCTGTGATGACGCATTCCTATTTTTTATTTGATGTGGTTCTGAAGGTAAGTGAATATACTTGTTTTTTAAAATACATGTAATAGTTTTGTCATGATTTAAGGCCATTGTCCTCTTACAGGAAAATGTTAAAAGGAAATCAATTTAAAATTTTTTACTTCTGATCTGATCTTGATGCCTGTCTTACAATGGTTCCATGGTTCCGTGATCTCTTCTTCAAGTAATAATAATTTTTATAAGAGTAAATAATTAATAATATAATTTGTAATAATGCTTCTGTTTTTTGTCATTTGTGTTTGAGTTTGTGCAGTGAAAGCCAAAGGGGCTTCGTATGAGTCAATGCAAGAGATTTCTGAATTACACCATAATGGATTTATTTTGAATGGTAAATGTAATGTTTTTCAACATATGTGATGCTACTAATGAATCAAATATCTTTGGTATCAATCTTCGTACAGGGTTATTCACCTACACAAGTTTTAGAAGAGGATTTACTGTATTTTAACACAATGGTGAACCTATTGTACCAGGATGTAATTCCTCACAGTATAAAGCTAAACAATTTCAAAAGTTATTGGTTCATTATTTGTTCCATACTTGCAGACTCATTTATGTTGGTAAACCACAAAATTATCAAAATAAGTAATTTTGGAAGCATAGGGCTTATGGGTAATACCTACACTTAAATTAAGTCATTTCTAACAGAACCTGTTGAATGTGTAAATTCATTCTTGTCGAAATATTTTCTCCACTATATTTGTTGATCACATTAATCTTATTTTTCTTGGAATTAAAAGTGTATGAGTATTTTTAATATACGGTGACTTTGAAGTTGAGTCATTAATTTTCAGATAATGATTGTAGAAGGAAGATAAACCAAAATATGTGTGTAAAAATAAAAAAAAATTAAAAAAAAAATTTTACCTTGTTTTATAAAGTATCCTCCCGACAAGTATTTCAGTGCGGACCTGTATTTGATCGTGAGGTCTTGGAGCACCGGCATGCCGTCACTTGATTTACGAGCCCGTTGTACTACATTAACAAAGGCACGAGGGGTTGGTTGCACTCGATTGGGAAACCGATCCGCATAAACATGTGCCATTTTTTATTTCGTTTGAGCCACGCAACAGACACCACTATTCACTGACACTGACTGCATACAAATGAATAAAATAATTGTAAAAACATCGTTCCAAATTCTTTCGCTTTTTTGTTTCCGATGCGATGAACCGATACGGCGGATTATGTCCGTTGTCGCCAAACACGAGCACATAATATTATTATTGAGACAGGGCGGTACTCAAACTTCCAAAGGGCTATAACTTTGTTACTTTAATTTTACCAGAAAAATGGTAAAGGAAAAAACATTTCTTTTGATCAGATCTACTCACTGTTAAAATAAATGACTCAACTTCGAAGTCACCCTGTATAATGCTATCAGAATGTATAATCAGCTGCCACAGAATTCAAGCTTCTTAATATGAGCAAGTTCAAATTCAAACTAAAACGTTATTTGTTTGATATGCAGTATGATCAATGATGCAATGTAGTATATTCATCTTTTAATATATTTATTATTGTGTAACTCTTATATATGTGTATATACTGATCGACCAGCCAAAGATTGCTAGGGACGAAAGGGGGAAATGCGATGAAAAAACCTTACCATTAGACGATTTTATATGGAGTCATAGGCGGAGATCGGAGAGACTTGAATTATTAATTGAATTTATATTTTATTACAACTGGTAGTATTAATATTTTTTTGCGATTCATAATGACGTGATACCAAACATACATTATAAGAAATAAATATACACAAACACTGAATATTGAGAACAAAATAAATATATTTTTTAGGCAACAAGTAATATTCCTATGTACGCATTATGATTGAACAGCAAAACAAATTATGCATTCTTCTAAAATAGAATACAACAAGTCAAAAATATCTGACTGAATAGAAAAATATAGGAAAACAAAAAGTAATTTCTTGATGAAATAACCCATAAACAACACATAGAATTAGACTTTCTACTGAGATACTAAAAGCCACAAACCAATAGTATAATAAATGAATATCTAAAAATTCTAAAAGGTAGCCAATCTAGTATAGTT